CCCCCCCTCCCCACACACACACACAGAACTGCCACCTGGCGGCCTCCTGGATGTTGAAGATGGAGAACCTGGTGAAAAACCTCCAGGAGCACCCGTCCCACATCGACGACAACTTCCGGCTGTTCCTCTCTTCCATGCCCGCCAAACACTTCCCCGTCAGCGTCCTGCAGAACAGTGTCAAGGTCACCAACGAACCTCCGAAAGGAATCCGAGCCAATCTGCGAAGGGCGTTTTCAGAAATGACGCCCGCCTTCTTCGAAACACATTGTAAGAAACGGTTAAGTGTTTTTATAAAGTTGTTTCGTTTTTATAACACTGGATATGGACTAGGGAGTTAGTCTTGTGTCAACAACAACAAAAGAAACAAAAAGTAAATTCGAGATGCAAGGAAGAGAGAGGGTGAGGTGGATATAGAGAACGTGCGAAAACATTGATTGGTTGGTAAATTGACCGGGGGTTTGGGGGGGGTTAGAAAAGACGGGTAAAGAAAAAAAGGAAGGAGGGGGTTCTGAATATATTCATTTCTGTGTTTAAAAAAAAACAACCAAAACTGAGAACGCACTCGTATGAATGAGATCATGAAGAAAAGAATCAATTTAATGTTAAAGAGGTTTTCAGTTGCAATCTTCGGCCAACAAAACACTTAATATATCCTAACTTACGTCGGTCTAAACGCCAGACATACATGATTTGAAGATAAAGTGAAAAAGAGACGAGTACAATTCTCCCTCTCTGTGTTTACCACAACAAGACACTTAATGTATTCCAAATTACCTCGGTCTAATCGCCTAACATAATATATTATGATATAAAGATGTAAGTGAACAAGAAACGAGTACAGCTCTCCATCTCTGTGTTTACCACAGCCCTGGGGCAGGATTGGCGCCGGATCATTTTCGGCATCTGTTTCTTCCACGCGGTCATTCTGGAGAGGAAAAAGTTCGGCCCTCTAGGATGGAACATCACAGTACGTTCTTCTTCTTGTTACGGTCGGGTTTGCATATGATGAGAAAACTGTCGGATATTCTTTTGATTGGTTGGTCAGTTGGTTGTTTCGTTGGTTCGTTGGTTGGCTGGTTGTTATAGGGTTTTTTTTAGGGTTTTTTTGTTGGTAGTTTGTTTTTTTCGGGTCGGGGGCAGAGCCAGGACTAGGTGCTTTTAAGCTGTTTGGTTTTCAAGTAGGAACAAATGGGGTTTTTTTTAACAGGGCGGGTATTATGCTTTTATGCCTTGATTTTCTCTTTTGTGTATTCAAAATAATGCCCGCGTTTAAGGGGGGGTAGGGGAGATATTTTGTTTTATTTTAATCAGAAATTTCCCTTTATAATAATTAAGTAGTGCTATAACTAGCCGTGGAAGTCAAGCAGCTGCATAACAAGGATAGTGCTAGATTTGAACCCACAGGGTAAAAGATCAAGAAGAAGTCCACGTGGAACCTGGAGAAGAGTCACGGAAATGGATGTACAGAAAAGTAGGAAGACGTGGAGCGACATCAGCGACTAGCCCAGGATAGCGAAATGTGGGAATTTGGTGTTTGTTCGTGGCCTATATCCTGATCCAGGGTGAGGAAGGCAATGATGATGATGATGATGATGATGATGATGATGATGATGATGATGATGATGATAACTAGCAGTGTGTATAGTTCCCTGTTTGACTGACTCTCTCCCCCACCACCACCCACCACGTTCGTCTCCAGTACGCGTTCAGCGACAGTGACCGAGAGTGCGCCCTGCTCAACCTGGAGATGTTCTGTAAGGAGGGACGCATTCCTTGGGACACCTTGATCTACATCACAGGCGAGGTGGGTGGTGCTGGTTCTGCGTCAGTACGAGTGAACGCTCTAGGCTTGTTGAGTGAGGTTGCTGAAAGTGAAAAGATTGATTTCTGTTTGATTTATACGTCTGGGCTGTTTGGGGTTGTTTTTTTTTTCTTTACCAATGTCATCGCGGTCGTGACTATTGCTTGTTGTGTGTGTGTGTGTGTGTGTGTGTGTGTGTGTGTGTGTGTGTGT